GTAATATAAAAACCAAGAATGCAAAGCGCGCGAAAAATTGACGGGGGACAAATTGACTGTCCACCGTAGCAAAAAGCACACAATGTCATGATCACGATCCAGATGCTTTAGGGTCCCATCTTGACCAACACTGTAAACGCAGGGCACAGTCGCCGTCTGATCAGACCACGGCGACATAGAAAAGAACCACCACACGACGGTTCATGCCTGCCTGATTCCAAACAGGAACAGAGAAAAGAAGAATTGGAGGCCTACGTACCTGAACCGTATTCGCTTCAGATCATTCCCACCACGCGGAAGTGAAACAAATGTGATCAGAACGCCAGGCTCCACCTGCGCCACCCACTCTTTGGGTTCGTTCTCTTCCACGAACAACACCACCGGGTCCACCCGCCGTCCACTGGACGAATTCGGCGTCCCTTCTCCGCTCGAAATCCCTTTGAGCCTCGCTTCCATCTCCTTCCCCCATGTCCTCGTCGTCGTCGAGCTTGAGCTCCCTGTTCTCCGGTACGACCACCGGAAACGATCCGAATCCGTGTCTGACTCGATATTGCTCCGGAGTCCAGTCTGCGTGGGCGGCCCCGTGCAGGGACTACAATGCTTGTACGCTCCCGATGCTTTCAACGCCATATCCTTGATCTAAAAAATGTCCATTCAACAACAGTTAAATTGAAGCAGATATTTAACGAATAAGACAAATAGATTTGGACTTTAGCGTTCGCATACAGTTATGGTTACGGGTCCGTACCTGAGACGTAAGGGATTTGATGGCTTGGTTCTTAGAATCGGGATCATCGGGCTGACTCAGCGAGTCACTCCCGGGTTTCTTGGGACGAGCTATGCACGTAAGCATTTTCCGGTTTTGTACACCTGAGCCAATTCGCCAATCTTTGCAGAATAAACTACCAAAAGAGAGAAGAACTGAAAATCAATTCATATTCGATTCCGCAACTAAAAGAATCGATCAACATTGCAAAATTAGAGAGAACAAGCTAAGTACCTGGATTCGTGAAACCTGATGGAGATTGAAAGGCAGATGAAGGTGAAGCCGAAGGTGGTTCGATGTTAAAGCGCGAGAATCAAGGCAGTAACCAGACGTGATTGTGTAAATTTGGTAGGTGTGAGCGTGCTCTGCTTTGCTTGGTAAGGGCTATAATGGAATGGGGGAAGGCGGAGTGACACTTTCATTTCAGTGTCCGGGACAGTGCCTTCACGCTTTATTCTTCTCTTACCTGTTACCGGATGCTAACCGGCAAATTGGCCCTGCGCGCTCAATTTTTATTTCTTCAAGCTTCACATACTTGTTTTCCAAGGAGCGGATCGTCATGAACAATCATAAATACAGCTAAAGTTAGCCTGTCTATTACGGCCTGATATCAAACAAGCCGGGCCTGCCCAAATCTTACACAGGCTTTTTCTCGGCCTCCCAATTATGACCTTTCAAGTCGATCCCAAAAAGATGGCTTCAAAACTTATCTATTACATTTTGAATTTTTTGTTTACCAAAAACCTTTTTTCCATTACACTACTTCCGATTCTTAATATAAAAACTAATTTGACTTTTAATTTAGTTTTAAATATAATATTTTAATCTATTTTGTTTCTCATATTTATCTATTTTTTTCAAAGTGATCCTTGTAAAAGTTGCAAATATTAAAGGTTTCATTAAATGGTAATTCAAACTAATACACATAATTAGCAAGAGTATTTCAGAAAAAACAATACCTGTTATTATAAGTAACTAGCTTAATAAATTTTTTTAATATACTCAAATTAGTCAACTAGTTTTTATAATAAGAATCAGAAATAATATATGAAAGAGGCGTCACATTTAGTGTCCCGACAAGGTTGTTTTCCATTAAAAAGATACATGTGCATAGAAAAAAAATCAGGGGAACACTCATGTACGCACAGATTTTAAATTATCATTGATATGGATTTTAAGATAAAATTTATTCATTAACCGAGAATAGCAAAGCAGATAATCTTTTTTACATGGCTAGAGAAACAGAAACACACACCACTGCAGAAACAGCAAGGCAGAACTAAGATGCAACATAAAACTTGGGTTTATCAACCCATGCCACTCCAGTCTTGTAAATAATTCACTGGAATATCCTAAGTTAAGGCACAAACTAGAGAGAGAAATGTGGAGGTGAGGACATCCAATGATCCAATTCAAAAGGCAAAACCCTTTCACTATACTCCTCGCTACTCGACGTTCATCAGCATTTCATTGGCATCGGTAAAGCCTAGGGACGAGGAAGCATCACTCAAGGAAGATCCAAGGGAACATGGTCTAAGGATTGTCTTAGATTCATTGAAATATCAGTAACATACTAAATCACACAGTAGGAAAGCAATAGGGAAAAACCCATTTAAATCACTTGAAATAAGAATATGTATCCTAATTTAGATTAGTAAATTTAACAAATTTCCAATTGGTTCATGGATCCGATTTGAGATTTGCGCATGCTGGGTATTTGGGGGTGGGGGGAGCGAAGGACAATTCAGTAAAATCCTCAACATTAACAAATCCCAACTTATGTTAATGGACCAATTAGATCATTTATTGTTGGACTTAGCCTGATCCACTCTTGGTTGATTAGGTCCAAACCCCATAAGATTTGGGGTCTAAAATATAATAAATTAAAAAGTAAGGGCTGTTATCCGTTAAAAGACTTTTGTTTTTTGTTTTTTTGGAGGCAACGGTTTTAAGGTTTATATTCAGTTTTTTCTTGAAAAAACTGAATAAAAGAATGAGGCATACATGGGGTGAAAACATTTAACACAGAAGAACTCTCCACACTCTCCTTTCTTTCTGTTTTCTCCTCCTCTCTTCAAGGCATACTTGCTGTATAACAAAATTTAACTCCGTCTATATGATTGGACTCTGTGTGGACATTAGAAATACTGATTCACATTTCAGGTGCCCCAGAAACTCATATTTATTAAATTTGCCAATTTTATTTCATCTGGGTTTAAATAGGTTTCTTCCACAGAGACATGCCACTCTCCTACCATTTCGTCTCATGCGTCGACGCTACATGGTGACGTGGGTATGAAACTAGATAATTCTATATTGGAACGAGCGCTGTGATTTTTTTTCGGATTTGCATTGGGTGCTCATCAGGTGATGAGCACCCAATGCTCATCACCCATCTGGACCGTCCAGATCTGATCTGGACGGTCCAGATTTATTTTTATTTTTATAAAAATAATTATTTTAATAGGCATAAGAAAAATAAAAAATAATTTCATAACTATCATTTTTTAAAAATATAATTTTTTCTATTTTAAAATAATTATTTAATAATATTAAATCTGAACCGTCCAAATTAAATTTGAACGGTCCAGATTGCTCATCAGGTGATGAGCATTGGATGGGAACCCTTTTTTTTCTTTAAAGGGTACGGTACTTCCAAGCCACGAACACATCAAGGCTATTTGGTGGCTGTCAGCCAGCCGCAGGATCAAACAAGCCGTCGTCATCAATTTCAGAGTCTGGTGGCGCGCTTACCTTGCCTTTTCCTTTATCCATGCTCCGCAGAATTGTGCCCCTGCTTTTTTAATTTCATAGTGAATTGTTTTTTTTGGCCACAATTTCGTATTCTTTTTTTTTTGCCAACAAACATGTATTACTCAGCAGGACAGTTACAAAGTTTCAACAAAGCTCCAAAACAAAACAAATACAGGCAACCCGAACCGTAACAAAGAAAGTAACTGAAGAAATAAGGATGACAAAATTGAAAGCAACATGTATTCTTATTCATTATCAATTGGTTGAGATCCATCTAGCCTGCATAAAAATATTTTTTTAAGAAAAAAATTCCGTTGGAAAGCGAGTTATTTTTCTGCTGCTATTTCAGTGAGAATCATACTAGCATAAATTTGTATGGCTGAAATATTTGTTTTAATATTTTTCTTCTTCATATCCTTTTCATTAATTTTACAGTTTGTTCCCATTTATTTAATCTTTCACAATTAATATCTTCACTAAAAACAACATTCTGATAAAAGAAACACATTTCTTAATCTTTTATTATTCTATTTATAAAACATTATCTTTTTTTCAGCTGAGTTTAGGATATCTACTTATCATGAACTTTTAAAATGGGCTTTAATGGTGGCCATGAAATTCTTTTTATACACATCGGTAGGAATCGAACATTCAAGTAAATGTTTAAAGAACCCAGCTAAGTAGTGACTGTGTTAGTTCTTGTGGTTTACAAAACATTATCTTAAATCATATCTAATTTAACACATATTTAAAAAAAACAGTTTACAAAATAATAAATTAGAAATAAAATTGTATAATTATACAAGAAATTTAATAAAATGATTTATAGTAGCTAAGATTGAGGATAATTACCTCATCAGCCATACAAACTATTTGCCAATTAATGTCCATCCCCACCTTTTCCTTTATATCAAGAATGGGAAAAAAAAAAAACTGTCTGTGAGTACACGCAGAGGAGGATATTCATAACAGTTAATAATTAATTTTCATAAATAAATAACTAGTTCTTGTACGATGCGTGAATAATCCAAGGGATGGTAATGTCAAAACTCAGGCGAGGCCGAGGCTTCTCAACCGTTGCAGGCCAAAAACGAAACAAAATGCGAGACACATACCTCGTGTTTGTCCACATGGATTACGTCACCCCCCGTCCGATGGTCCCCATTCTTCCTCCTACGTCAATTCGCCTTTCGTCTTCCCGTTAACGTCCAGACCCTCCTCCTACAATCCTTTCCGCTGGTCACGGACGCCCAGATTCCTCTTGCTTTCGTTCTGTTCATTTCTCATTTGACCACTGTAAAATTTATATTTACTTTTTTTAACCGACTGATGAAATGCATGACGTATAATATTACTCCTATCTTTCTATATATTAAAGTCTTCCCATATGGTTTGGATTTTGTTTCTCTCAAGCAGCTCGCTGATTCTCAATTCCGCAGGTCAGTCAGGAACAATGTAGAAAGCCTGAACGTTCTGCCACGTGTCTAAATTGAAGTTCCTTACCTCTCTGTGGGACCCGCTGTAGCATCTGAGCGCGTTGGAGTCTCAACAAATATGGGACCGCCTCTGGCCTCTGTGCATGCTTTCTTTGCTGCTTCCGCCTCTCCTCGCCGGCGAACGATCCTCTCCGGTCAGTTTGACGGTTATTATTCCGACGAGGAGTGGTTCACGGCTCCCAGCTAAGGTGTCATAAATCATACTTTAGTTACCCCTGCAGCTCGTAGCCTGAGACTCCAAAAACGGCCAATTTCCAACTGCCAGAGACGCCAGGGCAATTCCAGCTTACTTTCACTCATTCCGCGTTTAACTGTTTGTTTATTTTCTGGTTTTAAGCCAGATCTTCATTGATGAGTAATATAAACTAGCGGAACATTTCAAGCTTCGTTCTTCAAATTCTCATTTTGTTTTCCTTTTGTACCTAAACACCTTCTGGTTACTTCTAGATTATTTTAGAATGTCATTCCTAAGACGCAGGAAAGCCGCCGTTGCTTACGCGCCTTCTGATTCAGAGCATAAGTTTGACAAACTTGATGGTAAGGTGAAGGAGGAGAATGTGAAGAGGAAGCGAAAAGACGAGAAGATAAGAAATTGGTCGTGTGTGGATAGCTGTTGTTGGGTAATAGGGTTTATATGTTCAACGTGGTGGTTTTTGCTGCTCTTGTACAATACAATGCCGGCGTCATTTCCTCAGTACGTGGCGGAGGCAATTGGAGGGCCATTGCCGGATCCACCGGGTGTGAAATTGATGAAGCAGGGTTTGACGGCGAAGCACCCCGTGGTGTTTGTGCCCGGCATTGTGACCAGTGGACTCGAACTCTGGGAGGGCCGTCAGTGTGCGGAAGGATTGTTCAGGAAGAGGATGTGGGGCGGCACTTTTGGAGGACTGTACAAGAGGTAATGCCCTTTTCTGATTTCCCATCTTACTTACAGGGGTGGCATCCATATGCGAAAAGCTAGGTATAGTTTGTATTTCTTGATCGGAAGGCAAAAGTAGCCGATTGCACTAGAGATTAATCATTATTGCGTGACGTTGTCTAAATTCTCAGTTATATTAAGGAACCGTTTACCAGAGTCAGAAGGAGAATTGCATTTATTGAAGTAAACTTCTTGTGACTTAAATACGCTAGCAGATTTTATCAGCTTACAAAGTTTTTCTCTCTGTGAGAAAGAGAAGTAACCCTGTAAAGTTCTGCGGAGAGCATATATGGAAAATTTTGACATCTGCTTTCAGAACTGAAAAATCACAAACAAAATTCAAGTGGCCAGAAGACTCAACCTTGTATTAGGTTGAAGCTCACCATCCATGAAATCATTGACGAATGAAACTTGCTCTAATATTTTTGGATGGCATGTTGCTTCAATCTGCCAATACTTTTGGTAATAAATGTTTGTAAGTTGTCAGTAAGCAAAGAAGAGACGGTAGGATATAGTCACTAATTTGTTTTCTGGGAAATGCTGAACTCTTGAGCTTCCCACCTAGTGGTCCAAAGTTTGCAACCGATTTATTTGAAATTTGCAGCCCACTTGACAAAAATTTTGGACCTAATGGCTTGAAAGCCCTTTCAAGAGCAATTTCCCTCTTTTCTTTTCCTTCCTAGAAGAATTTATTGTCACCTTATTGCTCATTCATTTTTTGAATTACAATACTAGGCACTTCCTTGGTTATACTTGTTAGGAATATAAAGTTATACCAATGAGCCTTCGTTTAGTAGTACTGAAGTCGTCTTCTTAGCATCTGACTTCCAATCTCAGTTTGACCAAGATCCCCTAAGAAAGAACTTTACAATTATATTTATGTACTTCATATATTTCTTCAGAACCCTGTTGTCCGAAACCCTTGGGGAGTATATTTAAATTTAAGCGTGCTGTATCACTGTAGTGAATAAAATTTCCACCAGCTTCCTTTGTTTCATCACTGTTTAATGAGACTCAAAATATATCAACAATGCTGTATTTTTTTTTTTTTTTTGTGGCAGACCATTATGCTGGGTGGAGCACATGACCCTAGATAATGAAACAGGACTAGACCGTCCTGGCATAAGAGTGAGGCCTGTATCTGGACTAGTAGCAGCTGATTATTTTGCACCTGGTTATTTTGTCTGGGCTGTTCTAATTGCCAATTTAGCCCACATTGGTTATGAGGAGAAAAACATGTATATGGCCTCGTATGATTGGAGAATCTCATTTCAAAATACAGAGGTAATTCTTTAGTTACACCAACCTTTTTTATGCGTATGGCTTTGAAGATCTTCTTCTTTCTCTGGTTTTCTTGCTGCATAAATGTGCAGTAAACCCTCAGATGAGCTTTTTAATTCCCTGCTTGATTTGAATAGGTAAGAGACCAAACTTTGAGCAGAATGAAAAGTAATATAGAACTCATGGTGGCTACGAATGGCGGTAATAAGGTGGTTGTTATTCCCCACTCAATGGGGGTTCTTTATTTTCTTCATTTTATGAAATGGGTTGAGTCACCTGCACCAATGGGTGGTGGGGGCGGTTCAAATTGGTGTGCAAAGCATATAAAAGCAGTCATGAACATTGGCGGACCCTTTCTTGGTGTTCCAAAATCAGTTGCCGGCCTTTTCTCTATAGAAGCCAGGGATATTGCTGTAGCCAGGTTCTCGTCTTACCTCTAGCCACTATATTGTTTTATCCTTTATATTTGAATTTAATTGATCGGAATTTTTATACTACATATCGAAATTAGATTGGCGTTTTAATTAATATGTAAGAACTGTTCAAGAAAACCTGTTAATGAGGAAAAACTAATCGCAATAAATTGGGTTTCTGTCCTCTTATCATGAAAAAAGACTGAAAAAAGTTAAGAACCTCAACCATTTCTAGACATGTATATTGGACTCTAGTCTATCCCTTTTGGTAAAACGAGTTGTTAAATACATTATTTGCCGGCTACATCCTTAATCAAGTGTCTCTTTGGAAGCCACTTAAATAGTTTCAAGTTTTCATCAGTATTATTTTAACAAGCATTAGTATCAGACACTGATATCAATTTTGAAAGTACTTTAAAAACCAATAAAATTCATGTCAAATGTCTCATTTGCCAGAATGCCTATAATAGATTCCTCGGTACTAAAATTCTAAAACAAGCCTTGCTATTTTCCATCATGTTTTGCACAATTAATGAGCTGCTATTCTATATACAGGACAATTGCACCTGGTATTTTAGACAAGGATGTTTTTGGTCTTCAAACTTTACAACATATAATGCAGATGACTCGAACATGGGATTCAACCATGTCAATGATACCAAAAGGTGGAGACACCATATGGGGGGGCCTTGATCGGTCACCTGAAGGACAATATAACTGCAATGCAAAGAAGCAGAAGAACAATGATACTCATCATGCATTTCACAATGGGAAGGAGAGTTTTAAGCTCATCAAAAACGTGAATTATGGAAGACTTATATCATTTGGGAAAGATGCAGCTGAGTTACATTCCTCTAGGCTTGAGAGGATGGATTTTAGGGTAATATTCCAAATTCCAAACATATAAAAAGTTAGAATTTGTTCAGAATCTCTGTAGCTCATGTTTTTTATTTTGTTTTTGTTTTTTTCCTGCCCATTGATTTTCATTATTTGAATAATATAGTGTTCAAAGTGAATTTGTGCATAAACCAACTTCTTCCCCGGTATCCATTTTCACAACAGCAGCTATTTTGACTTCAGATTATTAAACATGCTTAGATGGTATCATGAGGCTTTGTTTCAGGGCGATCACCATCATGTTGCTATTTGCTAATGCTTTTCGTAATTTCTGTCTCTCTCACATTTGTGCGAAATGATAGAGCTTCCTGTTTGTACATCTGCATTCGAACATATAAATGTAATAGCAAAACCTATCAAGGAACTATCCGCTCCACAAATCTACGAAGAATCAGATTTAGATTCAGAGAGATGACCATTGGATCATATTTGAAACACTCTGACGAATCAGCTACTTGATTTAAATTAATCACCATTTATTTACATTTCTTTACTGGCATACCAGCCCTTGTATATATCTTGTGTAATATCAATATTGAAAATATAGAGACCTCGACACTGTCAACCATTTCCATTGCGCCTACTAACCTTCAACACCTACCATTTTCTAAGTTCATATCATCTTAGTCAGGCATGCAAAATGGTCAACAATCATTGACCCTGAAGTTTAACATGTTTTTAAGCAAAAAACTTCAACCCTTCTCTCAAATTTCTTTTCTGCCTGTCTCCTGATATTTTAATAATGTGGGCACTTGCAGGCACTTGGCATTAATTGCTTTGAAAAATAACAGTTTCTCATTTTCTATCCTTGGTTTCAATTGACAGGTTAAACCTAAGGGTAGGAAGCCTGAAAATAAATCCAAGTGCGCCATCTGGTCGGAGTACCAGGAAATGGGAGTGGAGGGAATCAATGCGGTGGCAGATTACAAAGCTTACACGGCTAGTTCAATTTTAGATCTACTTCATTATGTTGCTCCCAAGATGATGAAGCGTGGAGATGCTCATTTTTCACATGGGATTGCCGACAACTTGGATGATCCTAAATACAAACATTACAAATATTGGTCTAATCCCTTAGAAACAACGTGAGCTTCTTTACGGCTATCTTTGAAGATTCATCATTTCAATTATTTCTATTAGTGGTGGGTATTCTTAGTCTTTCTTCTTTGCTTCTACAGATTACCAAATGCTCCAGATATGGAAATCTACTCGATATACGGTGTGGGGATACCTACAGAGAGAGCATATGTTTACAAGTTAACCCCTCCATCTGAGTGCTACATTCCTTTTCAGATTGACTCGTCAGCAAATGATGAGGACTCTTGTCTAGAAGGTGGAGTTTATTCGGCTGATGGAGATGAAACTGTTCCAGTTTTAAGTGCTGGCTTCATGTGTGCGAAAGGTTGGCGAGGAATAACCCGTTTCAATCCTTCAGGAAGCCCTACTTACATAAGGGAGTATAGGCATGCCCCTCCAGCCAATCTTTTAGAGGGCAGGGGAACCCAGAGTGGTGCACACGTTGATATTTTGGGGAATTTTGCGGTGATTGAAGATATTATTAGAGTAGCAGCAGGAGGTACTGGCAAGGACTTAAATGGAGATAGGGTGTACTCTGATATTTTCAAATGGTCTGAAAAGATAAACTTGAAGCTCTAGCTTACATGGTTAGTCTTCCTCCTTGTTAGATCAGAAGTCAGAACTTCCTTCAATTTCTATGCCCTATCTTAAGTGAGATGGTTTATAGAGCTTTTATATTTTAAGAAGAGGATATGATATCAACGGTTCTAAACTACTAGTATTGCATGCTGCTTTATGGCTACTTTAAACTAAACAGACCTTCATTTGACTTTGAAACTTTGGACAAGATTTTTGGCATGATAGTTACATAAAAGGACATTGAATAATCTTCTGCATTTATGCGAAATGGTTGGATATGTGCGTCTATTCTGACTAAATTGCTGTCTCATGCTTAATTTCAGGATCAGCTTGAACCCTGCCTGGTTCTCCCATGTGCTGAGAGATGACGATTTTGTGGCCGCATGTGTCGGAGGGGGTTAAGGATGATGGTGATTATAAATGTAGCCTTAATCCTTAGCCTCGGGGAGTGCATATGCTGAGTCTGTTAAACGAAATTGTTCGTTTCTAATCAAATGTTGGGCGTCGCGTTCTTTTGGTCTTAAATTGATGTGGGTAATATTTTTTATGATGAAATGTATAACCTTAGTGATTAATTTCAATTACTTAGCATGATCACTTGTAAATATATATATATATATATATATATATCAATTCAACCGTATTGTTTAAAATTTTTGCACGAGCCTCTTGTTGAAATCACTAGACAACTTTTCGCGCATATTAAACGGAGTTTGATGATTGATTGTACCATTTACTGATAAGAGTGGCTTGTGCCATAAATGGTATACGGACAGATTAGGCCGTAAGTGCTAGGATCGAAATTGAAAGGAGAATGATAAATAATTGAGAGGAGAGAAATTAAACCTAATTCATGTTTAACAAAAGGGTACGTGTATGGTCGGACGCGCGAGGATTTTCAGTTTGCCTATTGCTTTGGCATTTGTCGGTAACAATGCTTTCTGAAACTAGATCCATCATAAAATCAAAACAAAGAGCATCTTACGATTATGGTTTGCCTTTACACGCGCGCGCGTGCGCACAATTTGGGTTGAACATTGCAACTTGGTTACTGTATGTGTGTGTACACACAATCACCAATTGGCTTGGCTGGTTTCGCTACATATTTTGCCAAAACTCTCACAATGTAAAGCTGCATAACTGACTTGAAATGGCCTATATGTGAGGTTCATTTTTTGAAAATAAATTACGACCCTCCAAAGCTATTATAATTAAATGAATGAGTTTAATTTTCAGTGTTAAATAATGAATGGATAATTATTATATAATTATTTTAATCAGTTTGGTGATTTATTAATTCTAATATATGATCGAGTATTTTAACATGCACACACAGTATCTTGGGAAAATTCCTTAAAAAGCCAATTGAATAACTCAAATTATCCATATTGATTGCATATGTTAAGAGAATTGTTCTAATGCATAATTGGAAAGGATTTCTTCCGATTCTAAATATAAGACCATTTTATAATATAAATTACCCTATAAAATATGTCTTATATTTAGGACTGGAAGAGTATTTTAGAAAAATAATGCATTTTTAACAAATAATTAACTTAATTTTGTATCTTTGCAAATTAGTTATATGGATCTTATAATACAAATAAGAATGTGTAATTCGTTACTTTTAATCACTTTTTAAATTTTAATATGTAGGAAGCAATTAAAAGCGTCATATGTATTAAGAATAAAATTATAGAGATTTTTTTTAATGAAGTAACATATTTAAAAATGTAAGGCATTTTGGGTTTATCTAATATTGATTAATACTCCATCTAGTGTTTATTATAATTTTCAAATAACTGACTTACATATAACAAAGAATCAGTTAAAATTAATTAAAAATAATAAATAAGTAAGAGATATATTTTTATTTTCAAATGGAGGAAGTAATGATTTTTTTAGCACAAGACTTGAACTAAGCCCTAATCACTTGGGAGCACCCACGGCTGACCCATTTTAATTACCGTAGCTGCGGGGTCAGTCCTCAATCCGGCTGTCTTATGTTTCAGGCTGTAAAGCATTGTTTGACTAATCCCGCTGGTCGGACGTTACTTTAATTTGGCCTACCTAGGTTGTGCATTAACCACCACCCACCTGTATGCCTCACCAGAATGTTGAATATTCTGACCTTCCCTCTATTTTTCGTTTAAAAAAAAAAGATTCATATAATTTTTAATCTCTCAAATTTACTCTTATTTTAATTTTGATCCTTCAAGTTTCAAATCATAGGTTTTTATCCTTTAAGTTTTATTTCATTCAAAATATTAATCTCTGTAATCCAATAAAAAATTAGACTATTTTGTCTCTTGAGAGACCAAAAACCTATGGTTTAAAACTTGAGGAACTAAAAACAAAATGAAGATAAACTTAAGGAATCAAAAATTATATTAACCCTTTAAAAAAAATCTTGATTCCCCCCAACTCCCATAAAATTGCTCAGAAATAGAAGTAAACCATATATCTAATTATGTAATTATTTATTTTTGTAAGGGCTAAGGTGTATCTAGTATCCCGAAATATTTTTTCAAATACAAAAGTATTTCCAAAATATTTTGTAATATATTCAATACTTCAAAATATTTATCTAAAAAAATATTTTGAGATGCTGGATATGTCAAAAAATATTTCACAATGCTAGAGAGATATAAACAAATACTTGGCTGCTCATCTAAATACTTTAAGGTATTAGATGCAGCGGGAAAAAAAAACTTCGAGAGTGTTGGATGTACTTAAAATTTTTTTAATATATTAATTTAATTATTTCATTAAAATATGAATTAAGTAAAATATTATATACTATAAGAAGCTTTTCTTTAAACAAGCTTTCAAGAAAAATTGATGTCAGAAAAAATCATCAGAAAACCATACTAACATTATTTTAGAGGACAAAATCAAACTAATTTTTTTTAGGCATATAAAGGGTATGTCGATAATAGAATCTATTTTAAAAAAACGAAAAGAAAAATCCAAAAAATGATGTAAAAGGCGCGGGTAAATGGGCGAGAAGTCTGAAAAGTCAAAACATGCTTCCATCGTCGAAGCTGATCTATTTTGATCGTCAATCGTGACTGCTCTTCACCATCCAATCACAAGTTTTGAATCTTACAACACTTAAAGCAAGAATGATTTTCTTTTGTTTTGTTTTGCGTTTTTTGAAAAAAAAATCCCAAATACTGGTCAAGATATTACTATAATAGAATTATTATTTCGATGTATAAATTCAGTGCCCGGTTTTTTGGCTTTCATTTCTCCTCCTGAAACATTCTGACTCCCTACAATTACTGAACACCTAACTCGTTCCACCAGAAATCCAAAATCATGAAGAAAGGAAACTTAGGCCTCAATCTCAAGCTCAATGTTCCTGCATCTGATCAGGTTTCCTTCGCCAAGTTTCTGTAAGTCTCCTTCTCCTTGGAAATCCATCCGTATGAGTGAATGCGGGTGTGTGTGATTGGCTTTGGCTGATTCAAATCTGGGATTTTGAATGTATTGTAGGACGGAAAGCGGGACGTTTAAGGATGGGGATTTGCTTGTTAATCGGGACGGAGTTCGAATTGTGACTGAGACTGAAGTCGAAGCTGTAACATATGTCTTTCAATTCTGTTCTTTTTTCTTTCACTTTTCTTAGTGCATATCCAATCAAATTGCCCTGCGTTTCTTTGGGTGCATTTTTTCATCTTGATCATTGGATCTGATGAAATGTTCTGTGTGATAAAAAAGGATTTCTTAACTTTATGTTTTTTCTTAATTTTAATCCCTCCCAAGCCCAAGCGGAGAAATTTTTTTGGTTGGAAAGCAGCATCAAAGCCTATGTTGTAGATTAATTATTTTTGCCTTTTACTTGACATCATCTTTGATTACAAAATCTGAATGAGGTTGGGAAGCTATTGAGCTTTGCCTCCCCAGCTGCTGCAACTGGTTGGACCAGAAATGTCAAGGAACTAATGCTTTATTGTATATCTTCGCTTATCTTCGTTTTTCTCTTAAATCAACCGGAGGATAAGCTGCAAGATGCAAGCTTATGGCACAAAGACTGCTCCGCAATCTGGTTTTTAACTTTTATGTCAATGCCATTTAAGAAAATGGACATTTTTAGGGAAGTTTTAATGTGACATTCGATGCATAAAATCAATTGTTTGTGTTCTTTTATCTCGACTCCATCTAAGGAAATGACCATTTTTGGATGAATTTTTGGTGCATAAAATTGTCTGAGTCTGTTTTATTGCTATCTCGGTACTCGGGCCATAGAAATTATGGACCATGACATGGGACACGTTATTGACATAAATATAGGCATATTAATTATCAATATGCAATTTAAATATCTACCTAAAAAACATATAATTTAAAGTGTAGAATCATGTTTAAAATGATTATCCAACTTGTGTGGGACATGGACGTCATTTCTTTAAGTGTCCATGCTTCATAGCTTTCAGACCCCTTCTTTCCTTCCCTTCCCTTCTGTATTTCTATGCTAAGAATGGCAGAGTACAAGTCTGGGGCCTTTCTTTTCTGCCACAACTCTTGTGCGAATGGTTTGAACTAATAGAAAATACTATCATTATTTTGACCATTTAAATTTGAATTAAGGTGCAAATTTGCTCTGAAAGTTTTTGCTCAATACCAGTGTTGCCTTGGAAGTTTTTTTGGGTTCAATGTCACCCCAGAAGTTTCAAAACATGGCAGTGTTACCCCACCTCGTTAAAAAACTAATGTTCTCTATTAAAGTATTGACATTGACCGTTAATATTTTTAAAGGTAAAAGGCAGCATTGCTTTATTTTAACACTTCCGAGGCTACGTTAAACCAAAAAAAAAAAAAAACTCCTGGTCAAATTTGATCCTTAATTTTTTAAATTAGTTCCTGATAACATTATTCTTTCCATCATGGGAAATTTTTTTTGGTGGGGGGGGGGATTTAATCTCTTAACCTGAATTTTCCTATATTTACTTTTATTTTGTAAAAAACTTAGAAATTGATATATATGCTGGCTGAACTCTGACAATTTGTTAATTATGGGTTTAATATCTGCCAGGCACCCCCTATCAGACCTCTGGACAACCAGTTGAGTTTGGCAGACATAGACATAATCAAAGTGGTTGGCAAGGGAAATGGTGGGGTAGTGCAACTGGTGCAACACAAATGGACTAATCAGTTTTTTGCACTAAAGGTATGCATAGTCCCTGCATATTGCTCACTTTGCCTTGAATTTGTATCTTCTGCTCTTTGGTTTTTATATATTTAGTTATCTCTTTCATACTTGTGTTGTCTAGCCGGATTTCATAATTTCAAAGGTTAATGCCCTTCTCTCCCATGAAATTCTTGCAATGAGCACTGAGATATTTCAGCTTGGTAATTATTGTGAACTTTAATGCATGTTTTACCATACAATAGCAGTCAGTCAAGGACACATTCTCTAGAAAGTTTCAAGAAAATGGTATGGTCTCATCATTATCCTTTTTGTATAAAAAATAATTTTCAGATTTTAGTAGAGTTTGTTTGGAAGGTGAAGCATTGTTTTGTAAACAGAATACTTTTGGTGTTATTGTGTTCCAAGGGAGGATATTGGACGTCTTGGTATCTCTGAACACATTGACTAAGATGCGACTTCATATCTGGGAGTTTACGTTTTAATCTATCATTTGACAGGACAATTTAGATTACATTCAGAGGACATTTGCTGAGCCTAAGGCTTGAATATTTTAGCTTTTTCACAAGAAATTGAGAATCTCTTTTTTGTTCATCATTTTGTTTTTCTCCTCTTGTTATTCATTGCATGCATTAACTTGATTTTGGATGATAAGCATGGGTGGAATATGTGGTATCTGGTAGGGATTTAGGTGGTATGGGATGCCTAAATAGTATGAGATGCTTAATTGAGTATTTAAGTTGATAGGTTCTCTCGTCTCAATAACTAGCTTTTGGGAGAGAGTTCCTCATCCTACTTAAATATCCATCTTTATCATATTTGTTCTTCCTTCTGATTTCTACATTTTTTAAATTTTGGTTGTACTCTTATGTGTCTGTGTGGTCTGACAATCTAATTTATTAATTTGAAAGCTGCTTCCATATCATTTTACTGTTGAAAGTGTTTAAACTTGTGAAGCACTTTCCTATCATAATACGTTCATGATTGGATCCCCAACTGTGAAAATTGGTTATGTTGTGAAGCATTGGATGACAGCTTAGGCAATATTCAGGTGGGAGAGGGACACTGGAGTCCTTTTGGGAGAGATTTGAGGAGTTTGTTTGAAGAATGGGATTAAAAATCAGCTGAGAGAAGAGCAGGGACAATTTGGGGAGAAGTATTGGGATGTTCTAGCTAATTGAAGAACTAGGGTTTACTTATTTTCGCCCCATCTATACTGTAAATTCGGATATTGAAGTCTATTTCCATCTGTTTACAATCTTGACATGTTTTACACATTCCGTTACTTATGGTACATGCTTCTCCACAATTTAGGTTATCCAAATGAATATTGAGGAGTCCATGCGAAGGCAGATAGCACAAGAGCTTAAGATCAATCAGTCAGCTCAATGCCCGTATGTTGTTATTTGCTATCAGTCATTCTATGATAATGGTGCCATATCAATCATCTTAGAGTACATGGATGGAGGTTCTTTAGCAGATCTTCTGAAGAAAGTTAAAACAATTCCAGAAAAATATCTTGCTGCTATCTGTAAGCAGGTGAGGAGTAAGTGGTTACCTTTCAATATTTCAGACTTAGGTTCTGGCAATCTGGCTGGAGGAGTTGGTTCCACCACTATACCTGATTTCTCTCATGTGTTTCGCAATGCAGGTGCTCAAGGGTTTGATATATCTTCACCATGAAAACATATTATCCACAGGGACTTAAAACCTTCTAATCTGTTGATAAACCATCGAGGGGAGGTAAAGATTACTGACTTTGGTGTGAGTGTAATAATGCAAACAACATCTGGTCAAGCAAATACTTTCATCGGCACATACAACTATATGTCTGTGAGTACGTTGTGTACCTATGTATTATCAATCTGTCATGTTTCTGGGAACACCTATGTATGAGGCAACTTATCCGTTTTGTCTGAATTACAGCCAGAGAGAATAGATGGGAGCCAGAATGGCTATAACTACAAAAGTGATATATGGAGTTTGGGACTGATATTGCTTGAGTGTGCTACTGGGCGGTTTCCATATACACCACCTGATCAAGGTGAAAGATGGGAAAGTATTTTTGAGCTAATTGAAACTGTTGTTGATAAACCTCCTCCCTTTGCTCCATCTGATCAGTTTTCTCCGGAATTCTGCTCGTTTATCTCTGCATGGTAAGTATATTCAATTACTAAATTGTGTAAGGTCTTGAGAACCTTTGCCCACCACAAAATAGAAAAACAGATGAAAAAGGAAAAGACGAGAAGGATCTTTTAAAATGCCTGGCAGTTTCTTAGAATAAGTCTGTAAATAAATAGAACCTTAACATAAAAGGTAAAAAACTGTGCCATACCTTGGAGTTGTATCTTCATAATTCACACCGTAAGATTTTTTTCATAATTACACAGAAGTGGTGTTTAACTGTCTTAAAATAATGTTGAAGGCCAGCAACTTTCATCCCCCCCCCCCCAAACACGGGGGAAAAAAAATCGACTAGCTGTCCTGTCATGAATTTTCTGCGACTTTTTCTCATGAGGTTTTTGATCCTCCTCTGTCAATCTTCTCTTTGTTTAGTTTACAGAAAGACCCAAAAGATAGACTGTCAGCTCAGGATCTTATGGTGAGTGACTGCGTAAAACTTATTTATATGGGCACACCTTGTACAATATCTTCTCTGATGTGATGAAATATATCTGATATGAAATCCAGGGACATCCTTTTATCAACATGTATGGGGACTCAGATGTAGATCTTTCGGCTTATTTCAAGAATGCAGGATCCCCGCTTGCAACTGTGCCTACTTCTACTTGGTAAGTTTCAACGTTGCCCCTTTCTCAAAATGGAAACATAGCCATCTTCCCTTTTGTTTTATGCGTCATTTCCCCTCATGTTGTTAAAGATAGGGGTATGTGTGTGTTAATTAAAGGGTCTACTAATCAATACCAGAACTTCTGCTTCAATATTGAGAATTTGTTTGTTATTGTAAACTATTGAGCATTTAGGGAGAAAAAGAAAGAGTAGTACAAAATAGACATTTGTTCCGTAATTGATATATAAATATATCAAGTTTTGAAAGTGAGAAAGTGAAAGAGGACTCCTCCTTGAAGACAAGAGGCAATGATGGAGAAAATAACTGAAGAACCTTTGGATCTGCCTAACTCATCAAGAATAACGGACATAAAACTGGAAGCTAGCTGTTGGTGTAGGAAATCCTCGATATTTATTTACCAACCAGGAACCAATTTAGGTTTTATTTTGTCAGAATAAGTACTAATGTTGTTACATAAAGTGTGACAAAAAACATAGCAGTAACCTTTACTTACAGGCGTCCAATTCTTGTTGCTAACATACCGAGATTATCTGACCTTCTGTTTTGGGACAATTTAATAATCCTTAACAATGGAAATCGATTGCACTCTTTGGCTGGTGCTGTGACCTTTAATTTTACCTGATATGTAACCGCAGTTTTTGATACCTCTCTATGCAGATCATAGAAATTATGAAGGACATTTTTTTTTTGGATATCAAGTGGATTCGTCGATTATGAGACTTGCAAGTGCCGTGATCCACGAGGCTGCGATGATTAAGACTTCATGAAGAATTTTAGGGCTGAAGATGATCAGCGTCCACGGACCGCGAAAAGTTTGAATTTTTATGATGGGAACTAAGGATACATTACTAGTGTTATTTGCCCTATATGCGGATTGCATGGTTTGTTGTACAAATTATTGAGATCATAGTTTGTATGGATGTTGCAAAGGCACGTCTAAATCTATGCCAAAGGTTTTGAATTCATTATATCCAAGTCGTTTGCAAGTTCACCTCTGCCCTAATGTACTTTTAGGTTCTTTTGCTATGGCTGGTCAAATTGCTTCCTGGGGTTTCGATTACTTGATAAACTGTTGATAACCCAGGCCCTGTCAATTTTTGTTTTCCCCCAATTTTTGAGAAATGAGTTTTTCCTAAAATAAGTGTTTCAACAACGAAACTAGATAATTCACCCAAAAAAAAAAACTAGTAATGCTTAAAATATGGTTATTATTCTTATACTATAAGATCTCGTTTGTAGACATAAGGTTTTATAATTAGAACCGGAAATAGTATAAGAATAATAATCATATTTTACTGCAAACGATATTTTATAATTAGGACTGGAGGTAGTATACTGTTTTTCTTTTCAAAAAAAAAATTTGTGGCTAGAGAATTTAACCGTGCTTTTTTAGTGTAAATATTTGGATGAATAAGTAAATATGACCATTCATCTTGGTTAATTTGACTAAAATTTTAATCGTCGAATTTTCTTGGTCATAAACATGAAAATATATCTTCGTAAAATGTAACATCAGGATTCACATGAGTCTCTCCTGCAAATGCAGATCTTATTGACGGCAATAATAACATTAAAATGGGATGAAGCAATAGAATCCCAATGTTGAAAAGTGAAAACACGCCCTATTGTAAGTTTTTGACAAGGCAATCAATACTGTCAAAATTAGTGACAAATAATATATTGTAAGTTTCTGTATGGGAACTATTATTATTTTATGGTTGACAAATAGTATGTTATAAATTTCATATTATTATTGATCTTATTACACACATGTTTAACTTAAGGACGTTAAAACTTAGATGATTACGCTGCCACAGGGTTGTCTTTGAGAACTAGTTCATTTCAATGGATTTGTCTGTGGCGTAGCACAACCACCCGATATAACCATACGGGAATCAATCCAAACCATCTAATCATTCAGAGCAGAGCCATGTGGCTTTGATCAATTGTACGGTCCACACACGTAAACATGGACTAAAAAATATTTCCTCTCTAGAATCAAGTTAGCTTTCTAATGTGGAAAGCTATCACAGTGATAACAAGAACCAAACGAACCTAACCTCATCCCCTGCAGATTCTGGTATATACTTAAAAACAGGATAAGATGGCTAAGCCCAGACGTGATGGAAAAAACCGACGGGCTACATAACTGTGGTAAGAAAGAAATATATTTGCAAGATACTCCTATATCTATGAAATGAAAGTCCAGGTGATTGACGGTACTTATGTCATGCCTTGGTCTTAAATTTCCTTCTACCCTTCAAGTCTATCACTATAACAGAAATGTTATCTTTGCTTCCTCTTTGGAGAGCAACTCCAGATAAGTACTCTGCAGCAGACTGTGCTGCAGGATCAACTCCCTCTCCTGGCCCTGTCGATCCGCCATTGCCATGTTTCTTGTGCCAAAGAAGGATTCGTTTTCGTGCAATCTCGCAGGCTTCTTCATTTGTCATGACATCCCATAAACCATCACTTGCCAGAATTAGGCACTCATCCTTTTTCTCCCTACGGACGAACTTCACTTCTGGTGTAGGTATTATCCATGGCTTTAAGTACCTATCACCTGGCGGCCATCAAGGAAAATTAGGTCACAAGAAAAAGTAACAGAGTTATAAAAAATTAAAAAGTATAATAAATATTCGAACGACACCCTGCATCCTTCCATAAAATTGAATATTAAAGTATTTTATATGCCCACATGGCGAGAAATCTCAATTCTTTACTAGAACTAAATGTTCAACTACCAGGGGGAAAATTGTTGCTAAGTTTGTTATTTTCCCATTAATAGTTTTCATGAGACAATCATCCGGTACTGATATCACATGGAAAGTTCATGAAGGTTCTTTCCTGTCCCCAGATCTTAGGTACTAAGGCACGGTCACTAGAATATTCAAGCTAAAAGAACACCATGCAACAGTGACAGCGCAGAACTTCATGAATAGAACAATAACACAAACAAGATAGCAGTAAATCTATGTAAGATAGACGTTAAAACATATAACTTGGATATCAAAATATTAAATACCTTAACAGAGTGCACAGTACTGGGCAACCATAATGTATAGATATATAACATGTCGTAGAGATGCCGAAGGCACACAAGGTCATGCTTGATGATAGTCAGTAAAAAAGAAAAGAAGCTTAAAAGAAAAAAAAGTCCTGAACACATACCTATGGATCTTGACACTGCCAAGACGCCGAGCACCCGGTATCCATTCCATTGTATGATCCTTCCTCCCGCAGCTTCTATCCTGGCCCACTCATCCTCTCTATTTGGCTGCACACGATACAAAGTGAAAGTAAATACAATGAATCATTCAATTTCTGCTTCAAGTGAACGGCGAAAACAAACTGTAATATGAATAAAATATCCCACTTTGTGATCAGAAGATAATGGCAGCGCTTCTTTTCCACGACACAAGACTGCTCTTGAATCCCCACAATTTGCAATTATTAAGTGGTTTTGGCATAAAATGACAACCACTGCAGTAGAACCAACAGTTTCAGGAGCAAGTGGTTCCATGCTAGATTCTGATCCATCATTATTGATTTCATTGTTCTCAGCATGAATTCCTCCAACTTCGTCATCAACTTTCCGGAAACAATTGGAAAATGCTTTCTTCCAATGGTCCGTCCAACTAATTCCATCCAAACTCGAGTCTGCATCTTGTAACTCCTCAACAAGCACTGAATGAAGACGCTCCCGGCAATAATTAGCAACCTGCAAAAACAAGTACTCAGTGAAATGACTCAACTTCAACAACACTGCGACTTGCATCAAAATATTTGATTGAAACTTGAAAGCATACCTGACAGCCACCATGTCCATCATAGACAGCAAAAAAGTGGGCAACTGAGTTTTCAGTGTTTTCATGCCCAGTGTTGTCCATTAGCATATGGGAAGGAACTTGCAAAAGGTGAAGATTTGCAGCAATAGCATCCTCCATCTCCTGTCTCCTTCCACAAATAGATGAAAAGCCCCAAAGAGGTCCACTATTCAAATCCAGAGTCTTCTGGAAGCTTGCTCTGCACACTTTTTCCTCCGTTGGCATCTCAAGAGGTGGGGCAATTAGTTTTGGATCAGACCCATCCGACCCACTGCCATCTTCACTCTCAGGATCTGTTCGAACAGAAACAATGTCTTGCACCGGCTCCTGCACAGTATATGAATCGTTCAAACTGTACATACCATGGGCATTATCTTCAACCTCCATGGCATTAGGTATATCAATCTCTGAAGTTGAAGATTTCTCCCCAAGGATACCGCAATTCTCACAGGCCATAGACTGAGACCTTGAATCATGCAGACATCGAAAATCAACCCCTAACCCGTGTTCATCTTCCCTCCCTCCCTGATTATGGGTTTCATTTGAGGTCCAATTACGGTTACATTTAATGAACATTTCTGGCACATGCGAAGCACCAGCCTGATTCTCTTTTTCCCCTGCAGATACTGTAATCTGATGTTGTGGACTAGCATCTGTCGAATTTTCATCACTTCCAACAGATCCAAAGCTCTCCATTGCAGGATTTAATATCAGTGTTGCTGTACTTGCCATAAATTTTAATCCAGCAATATCCATGTGTTTTGTCACTGATGAGTCCTTAGGGATCAAATTCCCAAGAGTGAATGGCACTGCAACCGCCGAAGATATTTCCTCCATATATTTACTTTGCCTTGTAGAAACAGCCTTATCCCCCTCGCCCACTAGAATATGGAAAACTGCCAGCCTCTAACTAATTTTATACCCTATTTCCTTAGGCCTCTGTTCCTCACGCGTTCAATCCGACATAAAACACCAAGACGCCTACGGCAAGAAATTAAAGGAGCTTAGAACCCACTTTTCCAAGAGACAGCGATTTACACTATTTATTTAGGCATCAAACATTGAAGCTGTGGAACTAGATACTAGAGTAGCTCTCTAGATTCTTTCTGAATTTTACCTGATTTTGGACCTGCTTGTTCAATCAATACCAGCCAAAAGGGGTACTATCTGATGTACTAAAATCTTCTATTTCTACCTTCTCACCAAACCCTTCGGTCCCCTGGAAAATCAGGCAATCGATGATTCAAGAACCATATCAAAATAATGGAAAAGTCAGTGCCTTCTCTCTCTCTCTCTCTCTCTCTGTGTGTGTAGCCTAAGCATAAAGACGAGGGAATGGGGTCGTTGAACAAGCAAACAACAACAAAAACATAATGATAACAACAACAACAATAAGCGAAACAGTTAAAAAACCGCCCAATCAGTACAAGAATGGGAACAGAAGTTCCCCAGATCTGAGGCAACCCACGCCATCCATTGAAATTCCATTAGGTTTTCCTCTCTTGTGTTACTTTCATATGTCAACCCACACCAAGCATCTCCATTCTCAATAATACAGAAAAAGATGTCCATATCGATCATTACAACTTCCACCCACTTCAACCAATTAAAGTGCACAGAGATTATTCTCTGAAGACAGTGAAAGCAAAGACAAATTCGTAATCCAGAGTCGCTTACCTTTCTCAAAACGAAAAATCCTGCGCGTGAAGGGACAGGGAAGGGTATGGTGCGAGGAAGAAGCCTGCACGAGGATATGCTGTTATTTATCGGTTACATTTCTCAGAGATCAGAGTTCAGACGACAAAAGATACCTGGTTTTTTTCAGGCCAAAAAAAAAAAGTTTATTAATTTATTTTTACTTTGACCATTTAACATCATTTTGTTCCAATTTTTTGAAAAATCAAAATTTGTATCCCAATCTTGTTTAACGAGAATGACTAACAAAAATCTTGCATAGCTCATCAATAAAATAAAAAACAGATGGTTGTTAACTAATATCATAAAAAATTAAATTTATACTTAAAATGTTAAATGATATAATAATTAAAACTAGTTAAAATCATAAAATTAAAACTAATTAAGAGCAGCCAAGATGACTAAAAAAAGTTAACACATGATGATAACACCCGGCAATTCATTCACTTATTTTTGTACTTAAAAAATTAAATCCGAAAATTAAAATTATTAAATTATAGTCTGATGAATGAATTTCTTAAGGAAGAATATCTCCAAATAAATGGAAGAAGTCATTCCATGAGGTTTCCTTTGTATTGGTTAATTAGATGCAATATGTCCTAATCCAGATTACCTTTAATTAATCCCAGATTTAAATGTCAATGTCTTTGTAGTTTGCTGTACCAAACTGCTTCTCTCTCATCCATTATGGACTTTATTACTTGCTTTTACAATGGGACTCTTATATTAATGTCAAGTCCACATGTCCCCATTTCATTCATTCTTTCTTTAAAATATCAATCCCCGGCCACCATGTGAATACACCTAAGTTAGGCAAAAATTAAGCAAGACAAGACATTTAGCAATAATCACATCTAGGGACCCCACCTAATCTCCGAATTTCAATAAGTTAATTAATACCATACTTTATAAACAAGACATTTAGCAATAATCACATCTAGGGACCCCACCTAATCTCCGAATTTCAATAAGTTAATTAATACCATACTTTATAAGTTCTTAAATTTTCAGTGATAACTTCTTTTGTTGGTTTTTCTTTGTTGCAATATTTCTTGCTAGCTCCGGTCAAAAAAAAAAAAAAATATTTCTTGCTAGCTTGCTATTTAATTAATGAAGGGTAAGGCAATATGTTCAATATTAACACCTTTTAAGTAGGGTTAGGTGGCATCCATCACCAAGTATTTTTTTTCCCAATAGAATTTAGTATTATAAAATAATTTTTGGTGTAATTTTACTATTAAAAGTATTTTCTCAGTAGCAATAAACATCCTAAACTTTAAGACACTAAATCTCATCAGAAAAATATTTTAAGATATTAAATTTACAAAATTTATTTTAAAAAACTGAATGCTATTAAAAAAAATCTAAAAAGACGGATCCATATAAAATTACTTTATGACAATAAACTGAAAAAAGTACTTTATGTGGTAAATGTAACTGAACTCTATTATTAAGCATCACAAATAGAAAGGAATATAGTGTTAAAAGAACTATTACAGTTTCTTTTAATTTTTACATATAAATTAAAATTGACATCATGTAATGATAACTTTTAATAATTATTATTAATGAAATGAAAAAAACTAACTATATGAAATTATCAGAACAATGGAAAAAAAAAAAAAGAGATGATCGTCAGATTGGTGGTGAGGTCAAGATTGAACAAAAAGGATGCATGGACTGAAACGAATGACGTGGAAGAAGTAAGAAGGAACAAATCCCAAGTCGCAAGGGGAGATGCACGCAGCAATCCCCCAAAATTGGAAGGAAGCATTATTATTATTAAAATATATAGAAAAAATAAATGCATTGAACCGAAGGAGTATGATAATAATTGTTGATATTATTATTTTAATAATAAAAAATAAGAGCGAGGGGGACACGTATGAAAGATAGAGGTGGAGATTGTGTTGTGCTTCAGTTTTTGTTTCTGTGCCGAATCCTTATTCGACACGTCAGCTTCGATCCTTTTCCCCTCTTCGCTTGGTGCCACGTGTTCGCTTTCTTTTGGCTTCTGCCACCCACCGACCATATCGCTGTATACATTCAATTCACATCCTCTGTCTCTGTCGGTCTCCATCCCCACTCTCTTCATTTGGACCCTTCTCTCTCTTTCTTTCGCGACATTTGGACCTTTCCTATTTACTTTTTTTCTTTTCCGGCCCATCTACCTTTCCTATTTCATGGCGTCAATGCGTGCCTTCTTCTATTCGGATACTCCAAGTCTAGTCCCTCGATGGGATCAAAAATTAATCTAGTTGATAAGAAGTCTAACTTATTGTTTATAAAATTATAAAATTATAAGTTCAAATCTCAATATCGATATGAGGATAAGGATGGAAACATGTCAAGTGACCTGTCCGGAGTCTATGGCCTGACCTGCATTTGACTTGTCCTGGCCTAGCCTGTTTTTCAAAAGAAACAGGCTCAGGCCTATTTAACTAAACAAGCTAGGCTTAGGTTCTTTAAAAAGCTTGTTAGGCCAATCTGGGTCTGTTAGAAATTTATAATTATAATATATAAAAAAATTAGTTAATAGTATTATTTTTAATGTGCTCTTTTAATTTATTTTTTAATTTTAATATATAATTAATAGCTTAATCCTTTCTTAAATTTTGAAGTTTAGTTGAGAAGTGAAGATAAAAATGTAATTTAAAATAATAATAATATCAATAAATAATGTGATCTTTAAATTTTAAACATATAAATAAAATAGGAAAAAAAAATTTTGTTCCAAGAATGATAAATTAATTAACTTATGTACTATGTTAATTAAAGTATAATACCCTCTTTATTCATTGTAAAATTAATAGTTTTTTCTCTTTATTTATTTGTCTTAATTTTAATTTTTTTGGTATACTTTAACATAATCTTGTTCCAAATTTTAACATACAATTATAATTAGTTTTCAATAATATCCTTATAAATTGTAATTAAAATTTAAAATAGTACTTATGATGCTAAAATTTAAATAAAAGATAACACTAAAAAATTAATTATTATGTATGCTTTTTTTAATCTTAGCCTTTTTTTTTAAAAAATATAACTATAATTTGAATTTTTTAAAAATGCAGGCTTTTTAACAGGTTTCAGGTCAGGTCAGGCCTTTATACAAAGCAGGCTCAAACTGAAAAATAAGCTTGTAACAGGCCACGGCCAGGTTTAGGCTAATAGGCTCCAAAACAGACCTGGCCTGTTAAGAGCGAGGCTTGACCTGTTTCCACCCTTATATAAAGACTTTGTTAGTGGGCGATCTGTAAGTAGCTTTACAAGCGTTTTCTGAGTTTAGAAACATGTTCTAGCCTTGGTGAGCCTCCAGGACTTAACTCACTTAATTTTTTTTGTACCAAAAAAATCTTTCAATTCTAAATATAAAATTCACTTTATAGAGAACAAACAAGAGTTGGATCATAATATGATAAATAAAAGTTTGAATTGTCGTTGAAAAAAATACTTATATTTAGCGTTTGATAGTATTTTGAATAGAATTGCGTTCAGTACAAAAATACTTGTGTTTAGAAAATACTCCTCTTGTTCTATTTATAAAAACATTTCTAGTTTATTTCACACAGACTAAGGAAAATTTTAACCTGCATTAACTGTCTATTAAAATATAATAACCTTCTAACTTTATTCCTATTTAATATATATATCTTTAAAAAAAATAACTACTATAATAAATGAAAGATAAAATAATACATTCATATTAAAAATTTAACGAAATGACTTATAAATAGAATTAAGAAAAATCTTCTCTATCTATCTTATAAATAGGACCAGAAAAGTGGTAACAATAATAATAAAGAAACACATAAAACATGAGGCTTGGGTATGTATTTTGTATTTAAATATTTTTTTAAAACTATTCTCATTTTTAAACATAAGAGAACGAAAATACCTCAAAATTGTCTCCCTGTTTTTATCATTTAAAAAAAAAAAAACTCTATAATTGGCTATTGGAAGCTATCCACCACCCTGTATTCCGTCACCTACTAATCCGTCGTCTTATCCACAGTAAATTAGCGATATAGGATTAGGATAATAAAAGTCATGAATATGATCAGTAAGGAGATGAATTGCTGAGAATAATAAAATAGTACTAAAATAACGGGAATTACTTGAGAGGAAATGAAGATATACAATTCCCTTCGGATTCGCAACATAAAAAAATGTTCTTATGGATCATAAATATGGTACAAATTGCTTCAAAATGCATTTCAGATTTCTTCCTCATCAAACGACAACGGACAAGAGACGCATCAAATTTATTTATGTTTTGGTTGACACTATTCTTAAAGTTTATATTACATGCAGATAATATTAAAAATAATTTGAAAAACCAGGAGAGCTTGATATGACGAGAACCAATCAATTGGAAAAATGAAGAATAAACAAGCTAAAACCCCTGGACATCCCAATCAGTTGGATCAAGGGACTGGTGGAGTAGACTAGTGCAATAGAACATAAATTCTAATCCCAAAAATGGTGGCTGATTGAGGCATGAAGATAGTCAACTGTACTGATCAGATTATGACAGGGAAGTGATGATGATCGTCAACCTAATCGATTAAGGGAGTGTTTGGATAAAAACAAAACCATGGTTTCAGAAGTGCTTTTACGGATTACGAAGTAAATATGTAGAGGGGGTTACCTCGTTTTGCAGAAAAGTGCTTCTGAAACTACGGTTTTGGAATATCCAAACAGAGCCTAACTAAGGTTGAGCAAGCCAATGTTAATCGACCGTCTTCAATCCAAGACTGAGACTGCCTAATTAGTCAAACTTGGCAGTCGGTTGATGCTTGCAAGAAATTGGCTTGTCGCCTCAAAATGTTCAGAAAAGCTCAAAGGTTTTATTAATTAAAACGACCAGACAATTGCGGGTCTCTTAAGAAATGTACTTGAAATGAATTTATTTAGAAAAAATCATAAAATGGTACAGTGATTCGAAATTTAAATAACAATTGGTACGAATGTAAATAAAAATTTTTATTAAAGGCTTGTTTGTTTATTTGGAAAGAGATAGAGGGTGTTTATACTAGTTTTTTTAGAAGTGATTTTACAATGTATTACCTTCGATCTTTAATATGAGATCTAGTTGACTAATTTGGAAATATTAAGAAAATAAATTAAGATAGTTATTTGTAATAAATAGGTATTGTCATTCCTAAAATACCATTGCTAATCATGTGTATTAACTAAAACTATTATTTGATGAAATATTTAGTATGTGCAACTACTATAAGGACTACTTTTAAAAAAATAGATAAATATGAAAGAAAAAGTAGTTTTGGATTTTATATTTAGAATCAAATTAAAAATCAAACTAACCCTTATATTAAGGATCAGAGATAGTACTACCTCTGGTCCTATTTATAAGAGCTAGTTGACTAATTTAGAGATTAAGGAAGTAAGTTGAGTTAGTTATTTGTCCTAAATAGGTGTTATCTTTTCTAAAATATCCTTACTAATCAAATGTATTGACTAGAATTATCATTGTTAGAAGAGTTATTTTGGAAAAAATGTATAAATATAAAGAAAAGTAAATCAAGATCTTATATTTAAGACCAAAATAAAAATCAAACAGGATCTTATATTAAGGATCAGAGGTAGTACATGATACATGTGGGAAAAAAATTTTATTTCGACTCATGTAAAAGTAGTTAAAATTTAAGTGCTTTTAACAATTCCGAAACATTCCTATAATTAAATAACTTTGCGCTTAGAAAGTAATAGTCGATATTCTTAAATCTGTGAAAATATAAGGCTTTTCAATTTTGTCTTTATTAAAATTAAGAAAGTGCAAGATTAGAATAAAAGAAGTTTAACTACCACGTCTTTGCCTTGCCTTTAAGACCAAGCAAGGCTTTAAAGCTTTGCATATGACAGGAGGGAGTTTGTTTTTAAAATAGGGATATGCTATGTTTAATCAAGGTAAACTGGAAGTATAGTTATCATCTCAGTAGGGGCATTTTTGGCAGATCAATATGAAAACAGTGTTAGTGACAAGAAGTTACTAGTGATTATGCCATGATCCTCATCTGTAAAAGACATACTAGCATCTTATGGTCCCATGGCACCGATTGAAAATTGAACATTTCCGTGTATCTTGAAATTTTTCCATTTAAATGTATAAAAATCCCAAATTTCTGCCCAACTGAAATTTATTTTAACATCAGTTTACTTCTCTGCTGATTTTCTTGTAATAATAGTACTAACAGTTCCGTACTCTGACGAACTATTGAGAGGGTTCAGACAATCACCAAAATGGTTGCAACTAAAGTACCAGATGGATGCACATATGCTGCTCAATACAGAACGTACGTTGAACTTAAAATTATAGACATATCTACAGAAGTGCCTACTGATCTCTAATGGAGTTGCTGGTTTAATCTAATAACCATATAAAAGGAGCTAATAAAAGAGAAGGAGAAGGGATATAAAAATCCTATAAGATTAAGTAGGTCCTTATCATGGTTGCCCCAGTGGGATCTGAAAGTAGGTGTTTGACAAGTAGCATTCTCAAGTTATTTGGTGCAATGATGAACATGTAGAATGCAAACAATGCTAGATCTGTTGAAGAGAGAGTCGAACCCAGAAATCCTTGCCACATCCTGTAAAGAAAAACATATTTACCAGTTAATTCATGCTTCAAGAAACAGGCAAGGCAGTCAGGCTCAGCTGCTTTGCATAAAATCTTTCATACTCGATCACTTCATTATATGTCATTAATCTTTCTACTGCAAAAACAGCACAGAAGGGGATCAAGAAAACTACGAAAGATCACATTTAATATCAGATGCATCTAGAAGCCTCTTCTGGAACGAGAATCAACGTAATTGGAAAAGTTATTTCCAGGGGAATGGTGACAAACTAACAGTTTTGATCCAAGGAACCAAATCCACCTGAAGCAAGATGTGGCTTTTGCGGACAATCTTGAGCACAGAAGTCAACGATGAAAGATGCTCAGACAATTTTAAGGTCTATGCCAAAACTTTCAGAGTACATTAATCCCAAGCACAAATACAGTCATTGAAACAAGTTATCATCTCCAGCCAGGGAAGTTGCATGATAGTTTTAACCTAAGCACTGGAGGCATCAAAGACATGGCAATCCGAAGCTCGTACCACGCAGTTATTTTAAATCATATCCATTAATTTATGTCATGTTCATATCGGGAGCGACCGAAAATAACAAAGATTTGTGGCATTTGATGAAGCTTTCCTTTGGCTTTCACGTAATGAAGTCAAGACAATTCTTGATGATTCCATGGGATGAGACCAAAATTTGTATAGCTAAAACTATAGATATAGTCAAGGCTTTTGCTAAGCCCTTCGCACGTGTTTGATTTTCTACCTACAAAGTGATGCACCAGATCCTAGCCACGTTATACACAGGGAAAACGTCATAAATCAAATTTCGAGATATCAATCACAAATGAGAGAAAATAGATCATACCAATCAGGTAAGCGGAAGAAAGTGTGAAAGAATGTTCTAATGCCCTCAATGTCCAGCTCCAGAATTAGTGCCAATCCGAAGAGGAAGAATGACCTCTGCCGTTTCCTTTCTAGTGGCCAAAGAGCGTCCCAAGCTGAAAATAATACGAGACCATGAACGCATATACAAGCGGAAAATTCCACTTCCACGATTAAATGACCAAGTATGCTCTTAAATATACGAAGAAATTAATGCAGAGATCAATATACGAAGAAATTAATATTTAAACGAGTTTCCAATACATAAAGAAACTCCAAAAACAAAAAACTATCAAGATTGGAAAAAATTGAGATTCGTTATCCAAATTAACAAATGTCATGCAGTCAGATCAAACTAAAGGAATGGGAAAAATATGAGCTAAATACTTGGTTGTGGCAGATTTTAATGTTAAATTAAGAGAAAAATACTTGATTACCTTGTGCGGATAGATTTTTGTTACTTCTTTCACGAGTAAGAATGTCCCGTGCATGACCCCCTCTCAAGATAGTAGCAATTACTGACGCATATTTTGGAGCCTCTGACAAGGATCTGACCACTGAGTATCCTGTTGAATAAAATGATGAATGTAAGATGGATAAAACATAATCGTGAAATGAATATATGACCATGACATGCCTGTAGCCGGATGAACCATGCTAGCAGCAGCACCAAATGCAAGGTTCTTTTGCTCTGTATTTGGCAAAGATCCACCAACTGGGATGTACGACCACTCCTGCATAGAAATATATAAGTAGAAGTAATTTTTGGGCACTCATAATTGAGATTCGGATACAAATTGAGTTGATTTATAAATTTATAAACTTCTAATTGGCCCCCAAAAAAAATTATAAGCTTCTAATTCTACTGGAGAAAGATAATTAAATTAAAGCAAGATATATCAGTAAAACTTGTCTATATCACATAATTGTTACAAAAACTCATGATCTAAGGACGGTTCGAAATTGAGGATGCAAAGCAACATTGTTATCAGTGGAGCACATGATACACTAGGCTGATTACAACAGTATCCGAGGCTGGGAGACTTTCAGTTCCACTGCTGTTATCCAAGTCATGTCTATATGTTTAGCTTAATTAAACTCACTTTTTATTTTAAGCTTAAACAAACAAGCCATTACTTTTAGACGCCACAGATACCATGTAATGGAAAGTAAGGAAATAGGAGAGAGAAAGGGAAAAATGTAATAGAAACAGAGGAGAATTGAGAAGAGTAGAGGACCAAGAGAAACTGAATAATTTCTGATCACATTGCCAAAACTGAGTTACAAAGGATGGTGGGTACTTATAAGTAAAAGCCTAATAGATATCAATCTAAATAAATATCCTGATATTATCTAAATCTAAATATTATCTAAATATCCTAATCTATCCAAATCCTACTAATATAATTAAATACTATCTAAATCCTAATAATATTATTTAAATCAGCGAAAAGGAACGAAAAATAAAATAATAGATATTTATCATATTTAAATATTTTCTTATTTATAATTATAATTACATAACATATCACCAATCAAATGCCACAGACACCGCCAATCAAATGATATAAATGTGCACATCAGTAATCTATTATATGGGATAAAGCATAAAGCCTTACTTGACATCAAAGTACATAAAAACGAATTGACACTCGTTAACTATCAATCTTAATATTGCTCACGACATTACCTCTTCATAAATTTTTGTGATTCTAATCCCCATGGTGTTTAGTCTCAAAAAGAGCTTTTTCTTCAGCAACTCAAAAGGCACGGCATCTTTTGAGGCCAAGCAGGTTTCCTGTGTTTAACAGTTTTACATAAATTGACATAGAATTGTAACAGTCAAGCAAAAGGTAAACCGCCAATGCTTAAGAAGATTGAGAAGACCTCAAAAAACAGTCTTGTAGGAGACATCGGCATCACGTAAAGAAATGTTGGATAGTTTTCTTCTAGACATGGAACATTTTGCTTCATGTAATCTCTGTAATCCATGAAAACCATCAAGTTTGGATCATAAGGATTGTTTTCCACCTAAAAGCATAGCCAAGGAGTGGTCATCACCATTAGTCATCATATTTTTCACTCCATTATTTCGGAACAGGACAGTTTCAAAAAACAATTCACCAAAAACAACAAATTACGTCCTATTTTAAGACCAACTCCAGAGCAGCACAAAGAACTGGTAGGTTTTGAATATTTAGAACTCTTGTTTTTTAAAAATGTACCGTAAAAACAGTAACGAGATTTGTAACTCTTACTAGCCTGCTATCCTTATACAGTACAATGACTCAATTTTATAACCAGAGAAACCAAAAGACCCAATCATACAGGTAACCTGATACAGAAGATGCAGGAGAGGGGATAGAGATAAGAGAAACTAGAGGAAGTCCACACTTAAATTAATTTCAAAATGAGAGAACTTTTTAATAATAAAATCATCAACCAAATTAGAAAGTCGCACACCATAGACCTAGCCTCCTACCTCAACCTCCACGCCGTAAGCTGTTTGGACAGACACTTTTGGACCCCCAACCTCATACTGTAACAATTTCCCTGAAGCTGCTCCTGATGCAACAGTAACAAGCCTGTAACAACGTGTCAGAAGCTTCAATATATAACAATGGGCCAATTTCATCACTGAATGGATACAAAATTTAAAAGTAGAAAAAAAAAATTGTATTATACCTGCAAGGCACTATATTATCATCTTCACAGACGACATTACTGCAACCATTGCTAGCTTCAACAATCCTTTCTACTCTTGAGCTAAGATATGAGACACCTGACTCGACACACCTAGGGAAAATTAATATGAATCATAATCTTAAATGTGACAAAACTACATTGAAGAAATGTTTAGGGGAAGTTATATTATCATAAAATAAAAGCAATGTAGTTTAAACAGTCTTGCTCTTACCTTTTCAATAACTCTTCATGCAGTAGATGTCGACTGACACGTCCATAAGCACGTCCAATCAAAATGGGATCCCTATCATCAAGATATACAATAGTATCCCGCCAAACATGCTCTATACAACCTTCAAGTCCAAGACCTAATATCATAAGAAGCATGTTAATTTATACGAAAGTGGAAGTGAGTTCATTGTCTTGTCAAAAAGATGGGTATACATATTATTTTTCAGGGCATAATGCCCAAACTGGAAATTAGCAAGAAAACTCAGAATTCACTAGTTCATCAGAAAACAGCATACAGAAATGCTTCCAAATAAACTTTGATAGGCACATGATATATCAGTTCAACAACAACAAAGATGAGATCAACAAGCCTCATCCCACCATATCAATTCGATGAAAATGAAAATTTTCAGAATTACAATTTGCTTTAAAAAAACAGGAGGGTAACAATCACCACGACAAGAATTTATGAGCACATAAGCATCCACCACATTCTTTTGGTTGATTTATAATTTTGTTACCCAATGCTCAGAAGAAATTAGAACCCAACCAAAAACAAAAGCAAAATCAGAAGAATGAAGGAACAAGAATAATACCTTTGAATTCATCTTCCCACACGCCATAATTATTTGTAAAAGGAAGATCTGGACCAATAAGTCCAACTTTTATCCCTAGCTTGGCAGACTCTGCAGCCAATGCAAGACCAGCTGGACCACAACCAGTAACTACCAGATCCAGAATATCATCTCCAATAGAGATTGGTTTTAACTGCAAAATACGAGATTTTAGCGAGTGATAAAAGGTCCTGAAAACAATTATGTTTGTAAACCATGTCAGAACCCAAAAAACTGGAGTAGCAAAGCTATCTTTCCGTTCAAAATAATGCCAATTATCAGCAAAAAGGAAAAATGTCCGTGCTTGACAACTCTGAAAACAAAGCCAACAGAAGTCTCACGTCAATTTTTTATATTTATAGTAAGCAGGGGCCTCCTTGCCATCCATAAAACCAAACAGAAATAAGACTAATCACAATACCAAGATATCCCAAAAAGAATAGTAACCCCTTGTGAAACAGAACAAAAATAGTGGAATGACAGAGATCACTGAAAAGCAAAAGATAACGATGGAGGAATCTTGTTGGAAACTTGAAACTAATAATCCCACAAAAAGAAAACCGTACATCGTTACAAGGAGCTTCCGTAGATATCAGCTCAAACGACAGAGAGCAGAACCCTATGTCAAAGACTTCATGATGACTATCTACCGTTACAATCTCATCCTTTTATACTTGACATTAATAGAGAGCAAATGCAGAAAACAGGAAACTCCTATCCGACGTACAAGATTAAACATTCCAATCAAATAACGATCAAAACTCATGAAACAGAGCTTTAAAAAGTCAGCCCAACCTTATCGACAAGCTTGGACTGTTTATCCATAGATTTGTTCTGCTGCATTTGGACGAAAACAAGTTCAGACCCACCAGCCTTGATATAATCTTCCTCATCAGCGAAATTCTGATCAACGGCCACCAAACTCTCACTCCCAGAACGGGCTTCCACACGCAGACAACGTGAACGGCACCAATAGCCATCCGCAGAGAACGACGATGGTCTTCGCCAAAGCTGCTTTCTCCTCGCCCTTGAAGATGAGCCAAAAGAAACCGTCATTGCCGCGAAGTTCCGAGCAGCAACACACTCCATTTTTCCAGAAAAGGAAATTCTCTCGGGGTTTAAGGCACTAACATCACTTATCACTCTTCGCTCCTCCTGATCATGGCATTGGAGTCACCGTTACTGTTTACACTTTGGCGAAATTGAAAAGGACGACGCCGTTAAAATAGGAGCTGTGTGTGTGTGTGTGAGTGAGACTGGGAACGCAGCGAGGAATTGCGCGGGGTTTGGGGATAGACCAGTGGAAGGAGGGAAGGAAGGGGGACAGAGTGCGTCATGGTTAGAACCGGGGTCAGAAGGGTGCCACGTGGAGAGCGATGATTAGTTGAGTGTCGACGAAAAGCTACCTTATCAGAAACGAATCGTCGTCAGTAGCACGAGACGATAGAGGGAAGACGTATGAGAAAGAGAAAGGAATATCAACCGTCAAATCTGGAGGACCGATACTTTGAACGGCTTATATTGGAATACTCGCGGGGAATTATCCAGGATAATCACACCCATCTTACACGTAAGACTCGGGTGGCGCATATGTTTTGGTCCCATAATACCTCAATTTTATTTTATCTTTTAAATTTATATTTTTAAATTATTAATAATCATTACATATATTAACAGGTTTGTATCAAATGATGATAATCTTCAATAAATATTACTACGGATTTCCTTATATTTGTCATTTGGCATCACGGCTAAGTAAAAACATCTATTACTATTTGCGCAAATAATTAAATGGAGTGTGTTAGCTCAATATGCATCTTTTCTAATAAATAATAACTAATTTATATGCTTTTTTTAATTTCTGCAAATTAATTATTTAAAATCAGAAAGAATATTATGAGCGGTAAGTGGTCCCACTCCTCCATCACAAGGTATTCCTTTTTCTTCTTCGGTGAGGATGAGCCACTGCTTTCAAATATTTGGTTGAGCACGTTTTCTTCGTTGTGACATCACATGTTTCAATAAGAAAATAAGGTCTCCAGGAAGTTCTTAATTCTAAGAACAACCAATAACCGTTTACTTGAAATGCCATTGAGAGCGTATTAAAGCTTCTCACCTAGTCCTCGTTCTTCACTTCTTCCCTCCATTTTTTCTGGTCAAAAGAATCAAAGACCTAAAGACCTTGTGATAATCACAATCACAACTTCAAGCTAACAACACAGTTCCAAGAGGCTAGCATATTAAGAGGAAGAGCTTTTCAAACTGATAAATTTCACCACATTTATGAGATTTTTCAATATGAGATTCATAATGATGCAGCCTCCTCAAGAGTCGATACCCGTGGTATCTTTACACCGTGACACGTCACTCAATTTCTACCAGTCAGTTCATGGGTAGCCCTTTCTATAACATCAGTCTCTCAATAAAAGCACAAATATAGTGAGCATAAGTTTAAAAGAAAAGCACAATCTCAAAAGACTAATTTTTTAGAAGAGAAAGCTCTTTAAATTTATAAACCCTATAATTCTTATGAGATGAGATAATACCATACTTGTGAAGGAGTCGTTGAGGATGAATGTAAATATTGGGTCAATAATTGGCTTTTATAGCAATAATAAGTTGAGGGTAATTAACTTAAATAAATTTAAAAAAACACGAAATAAATTATTTTTTGGTCAAAATAAATTGCTTAATTCTAACAAATATAACATAATTTTTTAAAATACTCCTATATAATATAATATTATATTATATATATTAGTTTATAAGTTAAATTAATTAATTTAAAAAATAAAATGAATTGAGGTATTGTGAATAAAATGAAAATCAACTTTCTAAGAGTAGATGAAAGGAATATGTTAGCGTTATGGTTTTACATATTAATCAAGGTTTTTTGACCAAAATGCTATGCGCAATAAATAATATTATCCAAATGCTACATAATAAAAATTATTTATTCTAATGCTACGAATTAAATAGGTTACCATCTCTCTCTCTCTCCCCATTCTTCTCTAAACCCTACCCCACTTCCTGCATCTCCCTTCCCAATCCGTGGAGGCGCATGTATAGTACTACCTCTGGTCCTTATTATAAGACCCTATTTGACTTTTTGTTTGGTCCTAATTATAAGACCCTAATCCATTTTGTCTCTCATATTTATGCATTTTTTTCAAAATAATCCTTCTAATAATGATAGTTCTAGCCAATATACTTAATTAGCAAGGATATTTTAGGAATGACAACACTTATTTATTACAAATAACTAACTTAACTTACTTCCTTAATCTCCTCAAATAAGTCAACTTGGTCTTATAATTAGGACCGAAGGTAGTATCATATTAATATTTTCAAGCAATATAATTTATGCAAAAATTAAAATTAAATTAAATAATTAATAATTTAAAAATATGTTAACTATCATCCACTGCTGTGAATTATTTATTCCATAAGCATTCAATACTCTAAGTTAATTTTTGATGTTATTTTATTTTATGATGTTAGATGCACAAAAAATTATTTTAAAATATCAAGTGCTGTTTAAAAAGTATTTCGATATGTTGAAAACTACTTAATTAATTTTTATTATAAAATGTATTTTTAAATTAAATTATCTATTTTTTATTAAAATATATTTTATGGTGTTGAATACATTAAAAATAGTTTAGGACATTGAATGATGTAATTTTGTGCCGTAATTTTACTCTTAAAATGTTAATTTTCTTCAGAAATAGTTGTGCTTTCAAAGTATTATTTTATAAACGGTTTTAATTTCACCATTAACTCTTCAAAAGGTCTATTAAATGAATGTATATTAAGCACCAAAACGTATTTTTAGAGTAATAGATCTACATGAAAAAAATACTTCCAAGTACTAAATGCACCACAAAATACTTCAAGGTACTGGACATACTTGAAAAAATACATCAAAGTATTGAGTGTACCATAAACTATTTTAAAATATTTGATATATTTAAAAAAATATTTTAAGACGTTGGATATACTTTAACCCGAAATATTTTATAGTGTTGAGTGCATCAAAAATTAGTTTAGAGCATTAAATGTTTATGAGAAAAATAATCAAAGTAGAGGATGATAGTTAACCTATTTTTAAATTATTAATTATTTTATTTAATTTTAGTTTTTCCATAAATTATAGTGTGCATAAGTATTAAAAATATTAATATGATGCTGTGTATATGTGTCCCCGCGGACTGGGAAGAGGAAATGCAGGGAGTGAGAGTAGGCTTCTAGAGAAGAATGGAGAGAGATGACAGCCCATTTAAATTTGATAATAATTTTTATTCTATCACATTTAGGTAATATTATTTACTGTGACTAGTATTCTGGTCAAAAAGCCAATTAATCATCTATCATGACATCATTCATGAAACTTCTCACCTTGCCCACGAAAGATGGGAATGTTTTCATTAAAAGGCAAGGAGTACGGGTTATGTACTTATTAAATTAATAATAGGATAGGATAGATGATAATTGATACAAATATGACATCATTATTATATTGTTCTATTATAAAACTTTTAATTCAAAATGCTATAAATAAAATTTAAAAATAATTTGTTGGGAAAAAAATTTAGATAAATTGAGTCCTAAAAACTCATCTGAACTAGACTCAAGAAAGATTTATAGATCACTTACTCATAAAATCTCACTTACAAAGGTACTTGCAGGTCAATTATCAATAATGTTATACTTACAGCTCACCTATTAATAAATTTTTTATATTATCAGCAATAAGATTCGAACTCACAGTTATGAATTGACCTTTTACTAATTGTACAACCTTTTAGTGGTAATTTAAAAAATAATTTTCATTATTTAAGATCCTTACAATTGTCAACAAAAATGATGGGCAAGGGCACCCAAATAGGCAATTAAAAACATAAAATCAAGGTCATTCCAAAAAGAAGACGACAATAAATTAATACCTTAAAAATACTTTGAAAATTAAAAAAAACAAACAAACTGCACACCCTCGTTCTAACAAAAAAAAAATGCATGTGTATCTGTGCATATGCATATATGCATATAAAAAAATATTTAGATAACTTTTTGACATTTATTATAGTAAATTTTTCAATGACGTTTATATGTGGGCGTGAGTCCTATGTTTTCTAGTGTGGATTTATAGTTTAATAATAATTATTTTAAAATAAAACATATCACAATATGTCATTGAAAAATTGAAACAAGGAATATGAAAAAAATGTAGCATATTCTTTTAGTCCTATTTATAAGTCATTTTCAACCTGTTTCACATAGACTAAATAAAATCTTAAATTTCATTAACTCTCGTGTAAACAAAATCAATACAATAATAAATGAAGGATAAAAATGTACATCAGTGCAATAAATTTCTTTTAATACTTTATAAATAGGATCAAAAAATATTTTTTTCTCTCTACTTCATAAAAAAGAAGATTACAGGAGTAAGCCTTATGATGGAGACAGACATCCAATGATGAACGTTCAATAAAGCAAACAGAACACAGCATTAGCTATTCGATGCCCGTATCAGAATATTGTCTGCTTGTTCTAGATTTGAGAACATATTGCAAATCCTTGCAAAGAAATAGTCCGATCCAATTACTAGATTTTTTTAAAACAAAAATGTGGAACAAGATTGTGGTTTAAATAACAAAAAAGTCATTCATCTTCTTTTTTTTCCCCTCTTAATTCAAATATATACACATGACTTTAACTTTATATTAATATTATTAATATTAATTATTCTGATCCGAAATTTTGGATGGTTGGCACCTGGCATCCGGGTGTCACCGATTTGGGCGGCAAAGGATCATACACACATCTCATAATTATTCTTGGGCACCAGACTCCGTAACTCGGAAAAAAAAAAAAAGTTTCGTTTCTCATATTTATTTTTTAAAAATAAATTTACCCTGGCTTTCCATTGATGTCCTAGGAGAAACCACCCAATATCATATTCATTTCCTCATAATATTTTCCTTACAGTTCAATACAAAATAGAGGATAATTTAAAATAAAGTTATTATTACTCTGGCTTAAGTAAGAACTTATCAGAATTTTGCAGCCCAAATAACATAAAATAATTTTAAAGATTTTTCCTAATTATGAGATTATGAGTTCAGATTCTCTATTAAAAAAATAATAAATACGCAAGTTACAGGGAAAAAAAAGGAGAAAGCATCTCTTTCTTACGATAGTCACACATTAGCTTTTTGTCTGCATTCAATATGG